AAAAAAAAAAAAAAAAAAAAAAAAAAAAAAAAAAAAAAAAAGAACAACCTGAAGGGTGCTAGGTGTGTCTGGGAGGCTCCATCTATTGCACCTGCTGGAAATCGGGTCCAGCGTCCCCTGGATACATCTTTGTAATACAATGTTTGTTGGGCATATGGCCATTAGAGTTCTTGCTCCAGAGCATCCTTCTTTCCCTCGGGGCTGCGTATGTTACCCTCCCAATTTGTAGAGCTCCTACGTCCTGCTGGCCTGACCCCACCCAGGATGGTGTCCACCTTGCCTCTATGTCTACACTCGTCCTGTTCTAGTGGCAGAACTCCTATCACCTGGTGTATGCAACCCCCCTTATTTTGTAGTCATTTCGAGACCTGTTTCTGAAGCCCTTTGTATCCGTTAAACCTTGTACCCTCCTCTAATCCCGTGCTTGTCGTAGTAATGAAGCTTAAAGCCCTTGACAACCGGGAAGCAGTGAGGAATGGTATCCTAGTACAGTTCTCCACGAGGGAGTTTCGGTACTTATACGAGGAAGCAAGGCATAAGCTTTCTCTTTCAGCACGTGAACTTTCTGAGTTCACCTTCCTAACGATCCCGTCTGTGGGCGGGTCAGACTGGTAGAAAAAGAAACCCACTGGTGCCATATGGCGGCAGAGACATCAAACCCTATGCTTCACGGAACTGCATGTTGAAGGTTGGTTCTTTGCAGTTTTTCCAGCTGCATGCTTCTGTGTACCTCTCTGCTGGGACTGTGTCGCCGTCGTCTGCCTTTCTCTCTTATTTCAGTTATCTAGCGCTATGTTTTTTTTTTTTTTTTTTTTCAATCCAGTGCTATGGGCTATCTTCCTGCGAAGTCTTTCTTTCTCTCGTTTTCTACTGTTTTCCTCTTTCTTTTTGTTGTTTGATGTCTATTATGCAATGCTGTGGGCTTTTTCCCTGCATGCAGTGACTGAGACACTCTTTCCATGTCCTACTGTTTGTCTGTGTCTTGTCGTCAAATCTTTTGTTTCCTCTCTCTCCTTTTTTTCCTAATCCCGTAAACTGCCAACAAATACAGTGCTTCAAGCAGATTTCCGAAAGTTCACTGCGGTTCTTTCAGCGGATGACTGTGCGCAAGACAGTGGAGGATCTGAGAAAGGATGCAGAGGATTCGAGTTTCAAACGCACATTGGGACCGTTAGATCTCACCTTCTTGGGGATCGGGGCCATCATCGGAGCTGGGATCTTTGTGCTGACAGGTCAGGCAGCTGCTCGTCATGCTGGCCCGGCTATCATCCTCTCCTTCGTGTTCGCCGGAATTGCCTCTGCATTGGCTGGCGTGTGTTATGCCGAGCTCGCCTCTATGATTCCTGTTTCTGGCAGTGCGTACACTTACAGCTACGCCACTATGGGAGAATTAATTGCCTGGATCATTGGATGGGATCTGATCTTAGAATACATCGTCTCCTGCGCCGCTGTGGCAGTGAGTTGGGCTGGGTACTTCACGGATTTCATCGATCAATCGTTCGGTCTCGTGGTGCCTGATCAGTGGAAAACCTCTCCCCTGTCGTTCAGTGACATTCACGACAAGTTCGAGATCACCGGCGGTTACATTAACATCGTCAGCTTGGCCGTTGTCCTTGTAGTTACCGCAATCTTGGCATGGGGGATCCGTGAGTCGTCGACTGTGAACACGGTCATCGTGCTGGTGAAGATAGTAATCGTGCTGCTGGTGATCTTCGGCTGTGCGAAGTTTGTGAACAACGACAACTACAAGCCTTTTATTCCGAAGGGCGAGACACGAGGGAAATACGGATGGAGTGGGGTGTTCCAAGGGGCAGTGGTGGTCTTCTTTGCATATATAGGGTTTGACGCAGTCTCCACGGTCGCACACGAGTGCCGGCAGCCTCAGCGTGACTTGCCCATCGGTATCTTGAGCTCCTTGGTCATCTGTACAGTGCTATATATATCCGTAGCCACGGTAATGGTGGGTGTTGTACCATATCGGGAGCTGAACTCGGATCATCCAGTCTCCACAGCGGTGGGAAGGACTGGTCAGAAATGGCTCACTATCATTGTGGACGTGGGTGCCCTGTGCGGGCTGTTTTCTGTGATGCTGGTGCAACTGTTGGGGCAAACGCGCATCTTCTACTCCATGTCTAAAGATGGACTTTTCCCGGCATGGGCGAGCAAAGTGAAGGACTCAACGGCCACTCCTTTCATCTCGACCTGGGTCTCTGGGATTGCCTGTGGATGCCTTGCGGCATTTGTGCCTCTGGACATCTTGGCCACTCTAACTTCTGTCGGGACGCTCTTCGCCTTCATGTTAGTCTCCCTGGGGGTCATCATCCTCAGGTACACCCAACGTGAAGCCCCTCGTAAGTTCAAACTTCCCGGCCCCCCCTGGGGCATTCCTGGTCTGTCCATTCTCGCCTGTGGTTTCTTACTGTCTAGTGCAACCAAACAGACAATCTACCGGCTCTTCATTTGGATGGGCCTCGGATTCGTCGTCTACTTCTTCTACGGCTGGCGGTACTCCAAGCTCAAGAATCGCGAGCTCATGAAGGCTCCCCCTGATGAAGTGGAAATCCGCAGTCTGCAAAGACCGTCCATGGTCCCCGGAACCGTCTGATTTGCTGGCCATTTTCATGGGGTCCCAGGAAGGAACCGATAGGGTTTGGCAACGATTCCCATGGTCCCAGAAATGATCCATCCATCTGATTTTGTGGCGATTTTATTTCGGTGGTCCCAGGAAGGGAAATCGTTGATTTGATGGCGATTTTCATGGGGTCCCAGCAAGGACCCTTCCCTTTGAAGTCAATTTCCATGGGTTCAACAGGAAGGAGGAGCCATCGGATTGGGCAACGATTTCATCCATCCATCTGATTTGGTGGTGATATCCATCCTCGTCGGTTAGAGGGAAGGGAGCCGTCGATTTGAAAGTGATGTCCTGAGGTCCCAGGAAGGAACCATCAGATTTGGCGGCGATTTCCATGGTCCCAGGGTCCAAGGAAGTGTCTGATTTTGCGGCAATTTCCAGGAAGGGTCTGATTTTGCGGCGATTTCCATGGAGACCCTGGGTCGAGGGAGGAGCCATCCCTATAAATGGCAACGATTTCAACGGTCTCAGGAAGGAACCATAGACTTGACGGCCATCTCCATGGGGTCCCACGAAGGAACCATCGGATCTGGCGGCGATTTTTATGGTCCAAGGAGGGGGGGGACCGTTGATTTGGCTGCGGTTTTCATCATGATGGGGTCCCAGGAAGGAACCATCTATGTTTTTTGGCGCCAATTTCCATGGTCCCAGAAAGACTGATTCAACTGGTGATTTCCATGGTCCCATGAACCGTCCGATTTGGCGGCAATTTCGACGGGGTCCCGCGAACTATCGGATTTGGCAGCGATTTTCGTGGTGTCCCACGAAGGAACCACCAGATTTGGAGGCTATTTCCATGTGGTGCCAGGAAGGAACTACCAATTTGGCGACGATTTCCACTGGGTCCCAGAAACCATTGCATTTGATAACCGGTTTTTCATTCTTGACGCGCTTTAAATTAGGTAATTAAGTGCTATGCGGCTGATTATGATGATGACGACTTCACTTCTTCACCTAGAGCAGCGTATTCACACTAGGGCCTTACTTACTCCTGAATATATATATACAATATATATACGACAGCAAGCAATTACGTTCGGAAATCGGTCGAAAAACCCCAACCGTGAGTATGCCCTTACTCTTCAGCTGCACACCTTCCACGTCATCAATCATGTTCCATTCAATCACGGCGCTCTGAGTTTGCTGAACTCAGTTGTCTCTGAATTTACTCATTGCTCGCTTGCCCATGGGCTTGCTGCTTGCTTGCTTCCTGGCTTGCTTGCTTCCTTGCTGGTCTCGCTTGCTGGCTGAATGGCTGAATGGCTGGCTGGGTGGCTGGCTGCCTGGCTTGCTGGCTTGCTGGCTTGCTGGCTTGCTGGCTTGCTGGCTGACGTGCTGGTTGGCTTGCTTGCTTCCTGGCTGGCTTGCTTGCTGGTCTTGCTTGCTGGCTTGCTGGCTGGCTGGCTGGCTGGCTTGCTGGCTTGCTGGCTGACTTGCTGGTTGGCTTCCTGGCTGGCTTGCTGGTTGGCTTGCTTGCTGGGCTTGCTGGCTGACTTGCTGGTTGGCTTGCTGGCTGGCTTGCTGGTTGGCTTGCTGGCTTGCTGGTCTTGCTTGCTGATCTGGCTTGCTGGCTGACTTGCTGGTTGGCTTGCTGGCTGGCTTGCTGGTTGGCTTGCTGGCTTGCAGGTCTTGCTTGCTGATCTGGTTTGCTGGCTGACTTGCTGGTTGGCTTGCTGGCTTTGTTGCTGGCTTTGCTTGCTGGCTTTGTTAGTTGGCTTTGCTTGCTGGCTGACTTGCTGGTTGGCTTGCTGACTTTATTTGCTGGCTTGCCAATGCATGGTCAACCATCCTCATCGATGTAAGCTTACACACAAACACACGAATATGAGCCGGTGAATCGGCGGTGATAAGCAACAGGACTGTTTCGCCCCACAACAGAAGGGGCCAGCGTTTTTTTGGAAACTCCAATGAAGTCGGTCACAGCCCCCCCATTTCTTGTCCTTTTCTCCCTTGCTTCTTATATATACTTCACCCGGCAGTTATCGATGACCTGATGATGACTTTTATATCAAATTATATGTAGTATATAGTACTGGCTCAGTGTGTACACCCATGCACAAACTGTTGAAATGCAGACCTCAGTTCGAATCCAGACAGAACCAGATGAACAAAGTTCCTCCATTACGTGGGGCCGGTCACTGCGGTCAGAATCACGGTGACGTCGCAAGGCTGTCGGCCTTTGCAAAAGAAGATATGTAATTAGTAATTAGTAATTAATTAGTAATTAGTAATTACTAATTAGTAATTATAATTGGTAATTAGTGGTTCTTGTTTCCATTACGCCTGTCTGCGAAGACGGTTCAAGTTTTCAGGTCACTGACAGTCAATGTAAGATTTTTATGTGGGGAGGATAGTGTGTGTGGTAGTCATGCATCTGACCTAGATTGCAGTCAGGTTCAGTCGAAGACTCGTAGTGAGTCGTAGTCATGAATACTCACCTGCCTGAACGTGCGGCAGCAAGTTTATTTCATGGAATAGAACAGGCAAGCACTTTGAAAAAAAAAAAAAAAAAAAAAAAAAAAAAAAAAAAAAAGATTTTGGATGACGTTTTCATTAATGTCGTTGCGTCGGTTGCCATCAATTGGAAGTGCTGAAGCGGCACTTGGGGAAAAGAAATGTAAATGTATTATGCACATAATATGCATAATATGCAGGCCTTGGACACAGTTTCAGTCTGTTTGTGCAATTCTGGAGCTTTTACAACAGTTTTATGATCTTTTATCAATGGACTCTTTGTTTTTGTTTGATCTCATATGCAATGGATGGCAGATCATGGACTGGCATCTTGCAACTGCTGCGTCCCCCAATTGGATGGAGCCCCTGAATCATTGAATGAATGAATGAATGAATGAATGTTTAGATGAGTCCTTACTGAACCTTATCAGGGAAAAATATGATCATTGCTGTCATTGCTGTCATTGCTGTCATTGCTATCATTGCTGTCATTGCTGTCATTGATGACTGATGACTGATGACTGATGATTGAGGATTGAGGATTAATAATTGGTGACTGATGATTGAGGATTGATGATTGAGGATTGATGATTGAGGATTGAGGATTGAGGATTGAGGACTCACTGTTGACGATTGATGACTGGTGATTGATGATTGATGATTGATGGATGATGATTGATTGATGGTTGATGGTTGATGATTGATGATTGATGATTGATGATTGGTAATTGATGATTGATCGCCAAGGAGGATGTGTGGCCAAGTGTAGTTTTATGCGCTAGCCATCTTTGACAGGATTCCCATAGCTCAGTGAGACGTCCAATAGGACGGCAGGAGTAAAGGCTAGTGCATGGTCATGGGGCCCTCGCGTGTGTCATTACCGCCCAGTCTCCTGTTGAGTCTGTGTTGAGCACTGTTTGTCCTTTATGAGAGTTTATGTCCATTCCACCGGTATGGAATTTGTCATTTGTTGGAGGTTTTGGATTAGGTTGTGGCAGCCTCTAATAAATGCCCAGTCATTTATTATTAGAAAAGAAGATGGTAGAAGGAATTGGCTCACTTTTGCTATGCACACTCTAGAAGAACCAGGATCAGATTACTGCAAAGTCAATAAAGACCCGGTAGCGCAGGTCACAGTCAGAGAAATCAACCTCAGAAAAGTCAGAGTAACAGAAAAAGAAGATTTCACTATATTTCTACCCCAAACTAACTTAGAGGACTTAGAAGTGGACCCAGCAGAATGGGCATGGAGCCTAAAACAAAAGTTCACAGGAATCAACCGCAGAATCAGCCTAATTCGACTACACCACCAGTCTAGGCTATAAGCTCAGACGTAGATCAACAGCACCGGAAACAGTCATAGCAGAACGTTGGAATAGGCACCTCGGATTAGAACCCGAGTCTTTGAAAGAAATTCCGTGGACCCAAATAGCAACACTGCATACAACCCCCCAAATTCAAGAGCCTGCAATGGTGAACCCGAGTCTTTGAAAGAAATTCCGTGGACCCAAATAGCAACACTGCATACAACCCCCCAAATTCAAGAGCCTGCAATGGTTAATCCTTTACCTAGCAATCCCACTGAATCAATGGCTGAACAGCAGAAGAAGAATAGAAGAGAGAAACACCCTAAATGAACTGTGTACCAACTGTACAGAAGGACAAATAGAGAATCTGTTCCATTGTTTTTTCCATTGCCCCAAGATCAAACCCATATGGAATTTGATCTCACAGATATGGTTCTCAATAACCAACACATCTTTCACATCAAACACTCCCCTCATCCTATTAGGCTTGACAACTCCCAATGACTGGTCACCTTTGCAAATAAACCTATTCCAAATTATGCGCAAAGCAGCACTATGGTCCATACGGAGAAAAAGATGTCAAGAAACGGTAGAAAAACAACCAATGCACGCGCAGGAAGCCTGGAGTATCCTCAGGTCACAAGTGGAAACAGAATACTGGGTCCTATGGCGCAAAGTCAAGAGGAAAATGAAGGCGAACGAACCCAAAGCCAAAGACCTCCAAACCAAATTCGCAGACAACTACCTCGCCAAGGGCAAAATAGCAACCGTCAAAGGTCAGAGCCTAAGCTTCACAATGTGGAACGTCATAACACAAAACATTACAACCGACAGTCCCGCCATTAGCACACCGGACTCATTGAGCATCCAGATCAATTCCTTCTAAGCTACCAGCAGGGTCCACACCAAAGGCAGACAATGAACATATACGTACCCCGACCTTCACCACCTAGATTAAACTCCCCCTACACTACGTGTCAGACACCAATGACGACAGAGTAAAGACCTTTACTAAGAGACCACACGCCCAACAGCATACCCTCACAAGCCCCACCACCTCCAACAAAAGGAATCACACATCCGCCATCCCCTCCAACACCTCCATACCTTCATCCCCCGACCTCAAGCATCTAGCCCGATCTCCCCTACACAAACCACCCTGGTCCCAGCCCACAGCCCCCCGGCCAAGCCACACGCAACAGAACATATCTTCCACCCAACCCCACAACCTAGACATACAAACGTCCCACACAAGCTCGGCTTAAACCAGCAAAAACATTAACAGTCCGTATCCACATACAGTTCCCAAACGACTCTCTTCGCCAGTCAAAGCAGGAACAACGCAGGATACTGGAGACAGACCATTAAAAAGATTTCAAGAAAGATTAGTGGACCATTCAAATTTGCAAGGGTGTGGGGTTTAGAGTCAGGTTGAAAGGGTAGACGAACAGGGTTAACAACGAGAAGTTAGGGCTTATTCTCGCCCGTCTGCAATAGCAACTAGGCCGGAAATGGTTTTAGGGCGGATCCAAACCTTTTGAGGAGGCTCAAGTCTACAGCTCTTAGACTAGTGCTCAAGGAGAATCCGGCAGTCAGAGAGCTGAGAGGAACACGTTAGACGAGGCCGCCCTGAAGCAAGCTGATAGGGCCCACTCCCCTGAGTACCTTACCAGGTTATCGACTCGACATAAAAGAAAATAGGCTAACTTAGGCAGGGGTGCGGAGTGGTACATCCTTCCAGAGAGAAGTAATCAATGCCGTCCCTCGGGCTTTCCTACCTTAAAGGGGAAGAGCGTGTGTGTGTCCGAAATGGAATTACTATTGACTTGCCGGTGGAAGAGGAACAGGATTGATGCTCCCCAGAATGGAAAAGGAGCCAGAACCCTAAGGTTCTGTTTGTTTAAAAAAAAAAAAAAAGGACGGCAGGAGTAACACACACACACACACACACACACACACACACACACACACATTTGACCGCAAGTTGATTGAGGGATAGTCATCGTCATGCCATGCCATGCCCTTGCATCGCAGACATGAGTGAACCTGGGCAAACATCTCATCTTATCTGGGGAGAATATGCTGCTGCTGCTGTTACAACAATGACAATGACAACAACAATGACAACAGTGATAACAAGGGCCGCCGCAGAAGTGACAGTGAAAATGAAAATGATGATGATCGTGGACATGACAGTGACCATATGATGAAGATGACAATGATGGTGATGATGATGATGATGATGATGATGATGATGATGATGGTGATGGGGTTTATGATGACAAGGACAATTACGGCGATGGCAATGAGGATGAGGATGATGATCACAAGGACACTCGTGACAGCAACAACAATTATTATTATGATGATAATGACAGTGGTGATGACAAGGACGGTGATCATTACTCTAGCGACGAGAGTCGGAGATGCTTTACAACTACGGTCTCAGGAACCTGGGGGGGTAGTTGGGATAGAGTTGAGAGAGACGAAGCCGAGCTGAGAAGATACAAGCTTGGCAGTACGATATATATATATATATATTTTCTCTCTTTTTTTTTTTGGAACAAATGCTCCAGTCTATTCGTGGGGAGCAGCATGTGCTGGGAACCGGGCCCAGCGTCCCATATCGAATATAGATCATTGAGAAAATTTGAGGTCTTTTGAGGACATTTGAGATACCGGGGCCATTACCCGGCTTCGGCTGAGAACAAACTGTGAAATAGAGTCCTATGAATGCTCACTACTCTCAGGTTCCCTGACAAACCCTTCTAAGACTTCCCAACACCGTCTTACTCCCTGCTGAGTTCTTCCAGGCCGCACGCCCACACCCTGCCGGGTTACAGGGCAACACAACTCGCCCCAGCTCCGACCAGCGTCATCCCAGCAGCAACCCTTGGTCGTCCCTTGGGATGCCCAACCCAAAGCATCCCCAGATCTCTCTACCAGGCCTCACGCTCCTGCATCAGCAGGTTACAGGGCAACACCCCAGCCCCGCCCAGCGTCGTTCTGGCATCGAACGGCCACAGAACATTGAGTATAACAGCATCAAAACTGCCTAAGATGGATTGCTAAAAAACCCTAAAGTCCTAAGACATTCATAAGAACAACTGACTTTTTTTCCATTCTTTTTTTCAGAAAACTTCAACAGAAAATTCATGAAAATAAGACAACGAACTACTAGAAAAATCTAATTGACCTAGGGATGGAATTTTGGAAATTGAGATACTGGGGCCATTATCCGGCTTTGGCTCAAAAAAATTGGAGCTACTTCAGACATGTCTAGAACAATCTTCATGATTAAGCGAAATTCAGAGACGACTCAGAACCCCCCCCATCAATCCACTATACCTCATTCCGGCAAGACTAACTGCAGCGGAGCCACCATCTCTGTTGCTGCTATGCCATACTCCCATCCTACCAGCTAGCCCCCTCACTGGTAGAACGCGTGATAACCCACCATCCTCTCCTACTCACCTTATCTTTTTTTTGAAATACCTAAGAACTCTTACCGTCGTTCCAAAAGCATGAGAATAGGCCACAAAGGTCCTACAATTATTCCAAAAAACTCAAAATCCCACACACACACTTCCAACGTTTTCCAAAACGGTCGTCTTTTAGGTCTCACACCCCCACTTTCTGCTGGGTTACAGGGCAGCGCGACTCACCCCAGCTCCAACCAGCGTCGTCCCGGCAGCAACCCTTGGTTGTCCCATGGAAAGCCCACCCCAAGACATCCCCAGATCTCTCTACCAGACCTCACGCTCCTGCATCGCAGGTTACAGGGCAACACCCCAGCACCGGTCAGCGTCGTTCTGGCATCGAATAACCGCAGATCACTAAGTATAACAACATTGAAACCACCTAAAACGAGTTAGGAGGGATCCCAGAGTCCTAAAAAACATTCCTAGGACCATTAAGCACCCAACTTTTTTTGGGACATTCGAAAA